ACAAAAGAGGCTTAAAATTAAAGTTTCTTCTATCAAGTACGGAGTAAAATAGATTTTAATCAAGATGTAAGTGAATGAAAAAAGTATTGAAATATCAGGATTGAAAGCTCCAAAATCCGGGGAACTTACGCTTCTGGTCCTGGGATGCAGATTTTAGAGATGGCAGCCCTAAATATGATAGAGTTTGGATATAAACCTTGACTCCTACTAACAACAGTCTACACGCGCAAGCAATCCCAATTCGTAAACTTAAAAAAAAATTTAAAATATATTTAAAAAAAATAGGTTATAGGCTGAATTGTCACAAAGCAATATGCTTATAAAACGTCTAAAACTACAACAATATCGACACCATAAAGCTTTTGGTGCTAGATACAAAATATATAAAAATTGAGACACTTACGTGAGAATTCTATGTTTTTTTGGCGAGAAACAAACAAACCGCTGTCACACCTTACGCTCAAGCCGCAGCCACCGGCTAACTACTGCAGAGGGGAAGGGTGATTACGAGAAAAGTTTTAACACGATCGGTCGATTTGGCAACCTTGCAGTTTTTTCAATATGGTGATGGTTCAACGTTCCTGGTTGGTTCCCTGTTCAACTACGCACCATACCATAATACATAAATATTACTTAACCTACTGCCGGTAATATTACAAGATAGGTACGAACTTATATTAGGCACATCGGCTGAATATCATTCAGGCCGCTATTTGAACGTTTTTTAAAAAGACTAGGCTGTGAACTGAAAGGATAATCTAATAATAGAAAAACATTACCTACTTATTTTAAATTTATATATGGGAATAGTGTGGGGTAACGTTTATTATTAAAGCGAATGTTAAAAAATAATATAATTAATTTCCAGACTAGTAAAATGAAATAAATACGTGGAATTGGTAAGATGACACTGTGATCAAGATAATATTATTAGGACGACGGCACACAATCAATGTTAAATAAAATGGCAGATATTTATGGAAAGTTATTTAGCGCAGCGTGGGCCGGTTATAGCTTGTCACAAATTATTCAAATAAAAACATTGTGATAAAAATTTTAACTTTTTTCAAAGAATAAACTTTGTCATTTACAACGGCTGCATGATTTTTTTTTCATTCTGACATTCATTAATTGCAGCAAATCAGTGCATGCTAAATCATATCAAAAGTAAAACACAGACCTCCTCATATTTGCCATAGTTGCCATGATTTTCAAGCGTGTTGACAATGGGGACTTTTTGTTATGTTTGATTAGTTATCAGGGAGAAACTCTTACTACACCCACGGGATCATTTTGATTCAAAGTGATAATACAATCACTTTGAATCATTTTAACATTGAGTTATTTTTGTTATCTTTTTTAAAGCTTTTATCGCTTATTAATAAATATTTATCATCATCATAATTATAGCACACTTCACATGTCCACTGCTGAACAAAATCCTTTCTTCCCCAAGGAATAACAAAAACACCGTCCTAAGCCACCTGCGCCTGCGGTACGCGTGACGAAATGTATTACTTAGAATGATTCCGTCACTAGAAATGAACGATTGGCACATGTCTAAAATAATAGTACTACGTAGTACGTACAGAAGTTGCACTCCTCTTGTCGAACTGAATGTCGACTGCTTGCCAGTGGCGGATTTACAAACAGGCTTAGTTGGCTGCAGCCTAGGGCTGCAGCTTTATGGGGCGCCAAATTTGAGGGAATTTTTTTATGTTTTTACACAAATTAAAAAGATTTAAACATTAAAAGAAAAGCTAAAGAAATATTTTATTCCATTACCTCGGAACTCAAAACACTTTTGCGTTCCTTGCTCTATCCACTCTTTAAATTTATTGGCAACGGGGCTGCTGAATGTCGCAGAGAAGCTTATCGCTTCTACATGTTATGAACGTTATATTTAGTTTCTTTAATAAATTAAAAAGTATATCTATTCAATTATTAATATTTAATAGCAATTATACTAAGCTAAGGTTTAACACATTTAATTTAACGCATGCAAACTGCAGTAGACGTTACACCACCTCTACTTGCGGTCTTTGTTCCGGATTGGATATAAGTGGGGTAAACACAAACACTTTTTCAAACAGGGTTTTCACTGTTCTTTTAAAAATATGGAAATATTTGAGTCCAGTTTGATACGTCAACCTCATCATTAAAGCCAATCATCATGTCCACCACTACTACCTTCGAACTTTCCTCCATATCTTACCGGGTTGACTAGCAGATTCAATCCTAACACTTCACTTACCATTACGGCACTGCCATATAAAATTTATAAGCATTATTTGTATCTGGTGTTTAATTAGTTCACAAGTTTAATTAATCCAGTGTAGCACACAAATATCACGACAGCGAACCCTCACCCAGCAAACTAAGTAGAAACATGCCCGAGATTTATCTCCGTGATATAACCCGAAAGCAGAACACCTGCAGCATATTAAAGTAAACCAACATATCCAAACTTCATCATTTAAGACTATCTGACCAGGTTTTAAATACTATAGATATAATATACTCGTAGTCATCATTACGTAGCTACCTCTGTTTTAGTATTATGTATCTCATATTATGTTTTCTTATAATATATTTATCTATAAATTTGTGTATATAATTATATGTATGTGTGTATCTATGTTATTTATAGCATTAGTTTGGAACATTTATTTTAATTGTAAGTTACAAATTGTAACCGCCTTCGTAGTTTTATCACTGTCCAAAAGTTGACTGGCAAAGAATGCTTTTAGCATTAAGTCCGCATTTTGATCCTGTACTTATGTGATGTTCAATAAAGTTTAAATAAATAAATAAATATTATAAACTCTATAGATATATATAAATACTGTAAACATAATAATATTTTATTCAATTTAAAACAGACAGACACGTTATTGGCAGTTACTACATATTGTATATAGAGCACTACAGTCCAGGATTTAAATAGTTTGTAGCAATTTTTAATATTCTCGATAACCACTTCAAATAAGCTGCAAATGTTTGGTTTACCGACGTACAAATACACTCCATTCGTAAAATTAGTTTTATTCTATTTGTAGTATTCGCGGAAACATAGGAAATCCTAATAAAATTACTTAAGTAATGTGTTACAAAGAAACTCTACGCGAAAAATTGTCTACGTGGACGTACAAGAGCACGTACACGTGCTCTTATACGTCCTACGGTTACGGGTATTTTTCATAGCACATAGTCCATCTGATGGTAATTGGATGCTGTAGCCCATAGACATATACAAATGCGCAATGCACATGCGTTGTCAATCCTGAGAATTAAAATCTGGTTTCCAGTAAAAATGGGCCTCCAGGTACACTCATCGTACGAAACACAGCAGCATTGAGCCACTATATCACGCTGGTTTTCTGTGAGTTTTCCCCGGTCCAGCCAACTCATTCGTGCTATAATCATAACATAGCTAGCGTGGCTCTGCCACGTCTAAACTTTAACCATATAGATTTTTTGGCAATTGCCCGCAGAATGCGGTTGAATTTGTAATTAACCGAATTGCGGCTAGCCACATTCGGAACTGCAACATTCAGTTGAAAAAAGCTTGAAATGTTGTTATCAGGACAAAAAACTATGAAGATGGACATTGTAATAGTTCTGTATGCTACATTTACACTATATAAAGAAGAAAAAGTAGGGAAAGAAGTATCCAATACTTATGCACAACACCTGACTTGATAGCGGGTAACCGCAAACTAACACACAGTGCCAGAAGTAACAGTGTGGCTATCCAGCACTCGGGCCACAGCTACCCGACACACAGAGTATATTTTATAAATGGAAACTCCGACCAACCAGAACTGTAACGGGCTAATGGGCAGCCGCATCGCTGTGCGAATAGACATAGGTTTTACATAAAATATTTTTCGCTCTTAGTACCTTATGTACTCGTAGTACCTTATGTCAGGCTATAAGCTATACTATATATATAATCTATACCAATATACTCTAATATGGCTATAGCTATACTAATTATACTTTAATAAGCTCATATTTTTCGTCACGTGATGACGGTCTATGTATGGGAATCTATCACATATTTTTGTACCGTGAATGTCGTGATAGGCGGCTATTCTAAATATCAGAAAGATCTAATGGTTTACGCCAAAGTAAAATATCCAGATCCCGTGTAGTAGCAGCGTAAAAGTGTAGATACTAATTATGTCCCTCTATGGCCTCCTAGATAGGATATTTATTAGAGTACAGTGAATTTTGGATAGACTGTACTAATGATGAATAATAATTATAAGTTACCCAGACTGGTGAAGGGGAGTATTCTTTAAGGAACTGAATGCCCGGGACTGCAATATGCATATTAAAACATAAAATGTATGAACACTCACGCTTGTCAGCCTGAGGGGTAGGCAGACACTACGAACTTCCATTTTCAATATCCTGACGCACCTCTCTCGACTCATTTACACCCATATATCTACGCATACACGCTCGTCGGTTAAGGGTACACCTAATCTGACCCATTTTCAATATATCGCCAATTTGGTCGATAAACCTTCGTCTAGGGCGTACCTTCCCGACTCTACCGTTAACATCTGCAATATAAATTTGCTTTTTCACTCTTTCTTCTTCATTCCTTCTATATAATTAAATCACCGAAGCATTCCTTTCTTAATCCTGGTCACAACACCATCTTGCAAACGATACTTTTCTCTTATCACACAATTTCTCACCCTGTCATTCGGATTCAGCAATAGCATACTGCTTAATGACCGCATTTCTACAGCATTTATTCTACTCTCTTACTTCTTCTACCATACCTAACTTTTACAACCATAAATTAAATTAAGGACTAACACACCACAATGGATTGCCATACGTGCCTTTTTTGACTTATTCTGATTTTTCATAATAGAGTGTTCCCAACTACAACAACCTCATTCACTCTATTTCCTGCGTTCACACGTCGTCATACATCCGTATACGATATGACAATATAACTTGTGAGCTTTTACCTGGTGATGAAAATGAAGAAGAATAATAAGCTCATAAACGCATGTATATTTCACAGGTTGTACCAAATACGAGTGGGCCTTCGAGTATCCCCGAAATTGCCGGTACAAATCGAGACGTCGGTGTCGAGCGGCAATGCCACGGGCAGGTCCGGGCGGCCGACTGCCAACGCGTCACTCGGCGGCTTGGCTGCTTCGAGAGCCTTCCAGATAATGTACAGAAACGAAGAGGTCACATTGCGGGATATCGTGCAATTTCGAGCTCATTTGTTAGGTAAGACAATTAATTTCTCACAACGGTCCTAGACAAAAATGTGTACATTCCAGCAAAAACTCAAATGCGAAAAGGTTCAATTGCAAACGATAACTGAGGTTTGTGGGCTTCGCCGATAAAATAGTTAACATATGATTGAGCGCCAAATTCTAAAGGAGTTTCTTAAAATATAGAATCCATAGAAATATACAATGTTCTTGGAACTGCTATTGAGCTCGATGCCAAATTTTAAGTTTCTGAGTAACCTAGAAATGGCCTAGGTTTTTTATGATTGAACTTCTCATGAAATCTAGGATTGTAGATATTTAAGGAGTCCTTAATTTGTGTTTTGCACATCTATTCAGGACTATTTAAATACCTAAATTACAAGTGTGTAGGTCTAATACCTTGAATGGTTTGTGTACCTAATTATACGCACTGCCGGTACGTCACTTACTTTTTTTTTGTAAACTTAGCTGACAAACTCGTATTTATCGATAGTACCAAAATATTATCAGGAATTTTACGAGTGTGCTTCCTTGTCTCAAATCGATAATTGTTACACAATGAGCATATATTTTGATTCACGAAAACTGATGACAGCATACATGTTTCTGGCAGCCCTGGGGCCACAATATATCAGTTTTCGTCTGCTTCAAGCTTATACAAGAATATATTGTATTTTCTCCATATGTTTTACAAGGTTCTTTTTATATTTTTCAGTCGACAGCCGCAACCTCAAGGAGTCCCTGGAACGAACGGAATGGAGTCTAGGTGTAGAACTATGGTGCAGCGAGGGTGCTCAGTCCAGTACCTTGGCGCCAGTATCCTGCCGCGTGCTCAAACTTCATTTCCAGCCTTCTCAGGGACTGCATTACCACCTGCCTGTTTTATTCGACTACTTTCATTTGTCGGCCGTTTCCATAACCATTCACGCAAGTTTAGTTGCTTTGCATCAGCCTTATATCAAGTAAGTTACACAGTTATTATCATAGAACTATGTTACAATATTATACATTGGTAGATGTTGTCCTACTTTTTTTATGAACTTGAAGTTACAAACGAATTTACAGCCTACGTCGGCATCATTAAATATATTTGAGCGCATAATGTACCGAACTCGGTCTGCCAGGTTTTGCTCAGATCAGCAAAGAAGCGGTGTAACCTGGCCCGGTACTCTCTCTCCAGTTTCTTCCCCTTTCGCCCAATACGCTTCCAATGCGTTTGACAAAGTTTTTGTCCAGTGGTGGCTGCTGCTTACCGAGTCAGCGAGGACCGTGCCGACATCCAGACATCTGGTGGGGATGATGGATGCTGGTGGTGTTAGTGGTGTTGCAGCACCTAGTGCTCGGCTATTGATCCGAAAAATGTCGCGTCCAGCGATAACTCCAGATACGCCCCGGCATACCCCAGACGGCAGCCCTTTGCTCGTATTATTTTCTCTATCATCCTTAAAATAAGCGACAATTAACGGGAAACGCCCAGGCCCAGCACCGTTTCATAGTGCGGCCGTAAGCACATATGGGCCTTTGCGCCCTCAATTATTATTATTTTTATAGGATAGGATGACAAACGAGCACACACTCCACCTCTTAAGTGATTGCCGTAGCCCACATACATCTACGTCAATATTCGATTACTAATGGAAATGCGTATGCGTTGTCACTCTATTTTACGCTGGTATTCTGTGAGAGCGTGGTCCTTCCCCGGTCGAGCCGACCCATTCATACTACAACTGTACTACTAATAATAATTACTGTAGCATGACTCTATCACTCTACCACGTGGAAAACTGCGCTCACACATCTCGCTAAAATAGCAGTTTGGTCACTTAACTGTTACGCGAGCGTGATGGGGTCGTCAGTCGTCACTTCCCTACGTCGCCATTTTTTTATTCTTTTAATCTTTTTTATTGATAAATTAAGCAGCTGCTTCAGGCAGTGTAGTTCTAATATCTGAATCTCCAGGATCAGTAATGGCCAATATGCATACCTACCACATGGTGTACTAGAGTTTTTATTTCGTCTGAGCGTACTAAGTTCAATATTGTTTCCTCTGTAGTTGTGTACCTACTTCTGTTTCTGCCAAAAAAGCGTAATACTCTATTTCAGATTTTCTTAGCGAAGGAGTATTTTTGAAATGATGACAAGCTTGGCTTTTCCTTGACGTAATGTTTTTAAGGTTTGCTTGTACCCAAGGCAGTAGATATTTGCCAGATCTCATAACCAACGCCGCCTTGAGTTGTTTTCTTATTTATATCATAGTCTAATGCGGCTAATGGACACCTGCAGCCAACTTCAAATGCGTTTTCACCTCTGAGGATTATAATATACTGGCTCTCCATACCTACCCTTCAGACTGGAATATATCAATGCAGGCACAACAGTTTGGCGGCAGAAATTGATAAAAGGGACCAATGCGGACTCATTGACAGAAAAGAAAATCCACCACCTAGCCTTTCCATTCTATGGGTGACACGATGAGAATTTTTCCGAATTCACTCACGGCTTTCTACAGCGTAACTATAGAATATATTAAAATCTCGACCACAATGCTACCTATCGGAACATGATTGTGTCTTTCTTTTCTGGCACTGAACCAGAGTTATTTAAGTCCATAAATTATAGAGTTTGTTAATATCTTGACCCATCGGCATTGTCCTAGCGTTGCCTTACCTTTTATCATTGCTAAGAACCTTTGGGCAGAGGGTAATAGAGTTCTATGGTTCTGTGCTATATACTAACCATGGTACTCGAAAAACAAATATTTTATATAAATATGACCTTAATCGGTTGAGCAGTTCAGAAGTTATACGATCGCTAAATGCGTCTGTTAGCGATCGTATAACTTTCTTTGACGATTGAGGTTATATTTACATAATATATTTATTTTTCGAGAAACAAATTAGTATCAGTCACAGAAATCGTTATAATAAGACAATAGAAGTCGCATAGATGCGTGACCTTGTCGCCGCTATAATATGCTGATGAACATCATTCACCATTTTGTGATTTAGTTGCGCGGGGAACGTCGTACATGAATTTATGTTATTATAAATTTATAAAGGTGAACTGCAGCATAATCAGTTATAAAAAATCTTTAAGGACATGTAATTCTACTAATAAAGGCATAACATTTCATCGGTAAGTTGATTATTTACTAATTATCATTGTTTAACTAATTTACATCTAGATAAATACTTTACTATGATGTTTACCTTTGTAAACTTTTATTTATAACTTTTCGTTTTGTACGATTACCATTGCTGCTTTTGTTCTACCGTAATACGTGACGCACGCGACGTTGACAAACTCGCCAAGCAACATAATGTGAAATATTAGATATCATTGTGCATTGCGTATGTTTATAATACGGTAAGATGTGACGACATCGGTTTTGGAAGTAATCGAGCGCTAATTAATTTCTATTGTCTTATTATTACTACTTCTGTGATATTAGTATTAATTAATGCTTTCTAACTTCTGAACGACTTGACCAATTAAGGTAATCTCAATCGGTCAAGTCGTTCAGAAGTTATACGATCGCTAACTGCGTCTATTAGCGATCGTATAACTTTCTTTGACGATTGAGGTCATATTTACATAATTTATTTATTTTTCGAGAAACAAATTAATATTAGTATTAATTAATGCTTTCTAAGTGGAGTGGCATGCAGGTGGTAATTGTTTTTACTTTATTAAGGTTGAAAATAATCAGTCTGTAGGTTTTTTTACCCGATTTGGATGAACTTCCGCCACCAATTCTTTTTTTCTTTTAATTTTAAGTAAGTGATTATTAAATAGAAATAATAAAATGGATTTAAATTTTTTGCATGCTGCTACGAAGAAAAAGTATAATGCAATACGTTCAAAGTTGGTAAGTGGAAAAGTTTCTGAATAAGTTAATACATAATATATAACATAACATAAACGCCCACGTCTGTCACCGAGAGGGGTAGGCAGAGACTACGGACTTCCATTTAGCACGATCTTGACATACCTCCCTCGCCTCCTTTACATCCGTATATCTACGCATACGCGCTCATCGGTTAAGGGTACTTCTAATGTGGTCCGTTTTCAAAATATCGCCAATTTGGTTGATAAACTTTCGTCTAGGGCGTCCCTTTCCGACTCTGTCGTTCACATCTGCCATATAAATTTACTTTATCACTCTTTCTTTCCACATGACGAAACAAAATACATGTATTTTAATATATAAATAAAAAAGAACCAATGGTAGCAACATAAGAAAGAAATTTGATAATAACTATTTAAATTTTCAGTACCCCGCGCTCCAGCAAACAATGGGGAAAATTGATGAAGAACGCGGGTTCCAACTTCAACACGTCGGGCAGTTTCGAGAACATTCTTTTCGGATCGGGCGGGAAATGTGCCGGCGGTAATTCTAGCAAGATAGCACATGCCAGGTGAACTTACTTTTACTTTTTTTACAAGTATTTTAACCTCTTTAAACTACTGAAAATCAAATTTAATTTTAACAAAAAACTAATTTTGTGTTTTAACAAAGAAATGAAGAAGAATCGGTAGAAGTGGTTTAAAAATTGCTTGTAAAACCAACGCTTGCCAAAAAAGCATTTAGTTTAAATCGCTTTTTCCTTTTGACAAAGAATAATTTTAGGAGGAAAGAAGTCAACTCAAAAAATAAAATATGTGTTTGCCAACCCGCTTGTCAAGCGTGGCAAATATGGCAAATATTCCCCCTACGAGGCTATCTATTGGGGAGACCTAAATTCACCAATGGGCTTTAATAGGATGTAACAGTAAATGAAATAAATTTAATACGTAAAAGAACATCGCACAATATCAATTTGTTGTTGATTTCAGACAAGTCCACGCTGAAGTGTGTGGTATTCTCCTGGGATCTCTAGAGGGACTGCAAAGTGCACTTACTGTATGTGGCTCCACTGGCGTACTCCTTACTCCTGAGGAATCTTCTTCTAATTCTATAGTTGGAGAAGTATCACAGAGGATTAAAGATCTTAGCGATAATAGCAAAGTTAGTAAATATTGTTTTATATACAACGCTACATACACTGTTTGTTATTATTCCTTCATATTTTAATGTATTTTGTTTTAAATTCTGTAGTTAAATATTATAAATATGGCTTATCAGCTGCTGCTATAGAAGATAAAATATGATTCTATGTTTCCATATCCCATTTTCTAATCTTTTTTGTAGTAAAAGAATAACAAACAGGCACTCAGTAGTACTGACAGGCAGTCCACCTGATGGTAAGTGGATGCTGTGCCTCATAGATCATTAGATCTACATCTATTCTCGATCAAGAATCAAAATGCCGATGCGTTTTCACTGAAAACTAAGGCGGAATGCCTCGTGTGCAGTAAAAAGGATCTCCGGTTCTCTACACTCACCATACGAAAAACAGCATCACAAATCTTACGCTGGGAATCTGTGAGAGCGTGGTCCTACCCCGGTCGAACCAATCCATTCATGCTACAACAATAATATAGCTGAAGCGTGGCTCTACCACATATAAAAGTATGATAATCTAATGATTTCATATATTAGAAATATTTTTCAGATCAATTTTATCTGTAATTATATCATTCATGAGAAATATATTTGAATTTTTACAAACTTTAGCTCTACACTAAAATGATTCCTCTATTGTGAAAACGTTTTATCTACATAAATTATTTTCTTGTTGTTCCTTTGTCGGTCAAAAGCGTTATTTCGTTTATCCACCCTAAAAAAATCCACCCTAGGGTAGGATACTCTGAAACGCTATTTCAGATTAAATCGGAATAATAATTAATCGGAATTCACTTTTATTTGTTCTTCTGACTTTTTACTTCAAATACAGTCAACACATACACTTTAATTATTAATTAATTTTTAATAACTATAAACCTTATCAAAAAGCATTACGATTTGCTGATACACGTTACAGTTACAGTGCATTACGTATTGCATTTAAAACAAATTAAACTTTCTCGTTTTAAATAATATTATTGCGTAATTTATTAATTCTGCAATATATCCAGACAATACTTATTCATTATTGAGTATACGTAATTACCAACACTAATTTCATTATTGAGATAAACGTAATTAAATATTCTGGATGAATTCGTCACTTTCAAATGTACATTTGCAATCTATTTTTAAATTTCTTTGCTACTACAGATGTGTTAGCGAAGAACTGGGCGTTTTTGGCAAGCATTCCAAAAACGTTACTATTGGAAGTTTGTTATTAACTTCATTTTAAATTATTTTATGCCAAGATTCCAATGAATTTGTTATCCTGTGAGGTGCTCTTTTTATCTCAGCGTTGATCTTTCAAACAAGAAGTATGTATATATTTTTATAGGTAGGTAATGTCTACTGAGACTCTTGAGTCAGCTTTTATCATGTTTCTACAAATGACTATACACAGTCAGGGGGGGGGGAGTCGGAAGAAAATAATATAGACGATTCCGATTATTCACCCCGTCTGGAGTGGATAGATTAACACGCGTTTCCGAGTATTCACCCTAGGGTAGATTATTTAATGTGGATAAACGGAACATCCCGGCCAAAAAATGTCCACATCTGGACATGGGCCACTCCCGTGGAAGGGAGGACTTGCCATGATCGTTACGCTTGGCAGATGGATTAATTATCCCAGTGCCAGACGTCTCGTATCTTTGACGCTCATTCCCGTCACCAGTATGGGTATTTTATGCCTGATATAAGCAGATAGTTATACTGCCATCCTTCGAAAGCCATAAGATTTTTCGGGAATTTTCCATTGCCGCCTCTAACGGCATGCATGGAACGAAATGCGATGATAGTTTCTTTTATATGACATCATTCATTTCATACATAAATTTCACACAATAAAAATATCCAGAGCCGGAAAAATCATTTACAGGCTATAAAATTAGTTGTTCCGTGCGGGATTGATTCGAACATGCGGCCGCGGCGCCACAGCTAAACGCTTTGCTACTGATCCGTCAATTCCTTAATATCTTGTACCTTTACACATACAGTTTTGGGGTCTAGTCTGAATTATATTTATTATTATACACCATCGAGCTAATAGTACACAATATTTATTAATCAATACAGATTATACACAATACTGATCGAAAGAAAAAAAATATTTACTTTTGGTTCAGAAAACACCTATGTCCGCAGTAAGAAATCCAGCGGGATTTTTTTTTAAATATAAGATTTTACAATAATATGTAGTACTTATACAATTATTTATATGAATTGGATTAGAACCGCCATGATAACGATCATCTCATTTCCTGAGTTTAGTTTCTTTCTCAGTCCTTTTTATACAGTTCATTTTCAATTAAAATTTATAAACTTGTTGTTTGACAAACATTGAACATTTTCTGAGATTTTGTTGTAAAAGCATTTGTATTGCCTCATAAATTTGTTATTATCTATACTAATGTTAAACTCGGAATTATACTATTGGTAAACACTCGCTACCCGCAGTTCAATAAATTGAGGAAACAGGCCGCCGCCTGTTGCGCTCTGTGTGCCACTTACGGGCCTTACGGCAGGCCTGGCCTGATAGTCCGGTCACTTCAGGGTTTCACCTCGAAATTTAAGATAAAAAGCTGGAACTTCGTGTACAGCTTCATTTTGGCGTTCTAAAAGTTGTCTCAAAAGTCTCATATTATCTCGTGTCTGCGTCGTTAGTTATTCAAGGTCAAGAGTCACGAAAATAGGTTTTTTGCAATCATCTCCGTTTCTATGGTTCCAATCATTTCAACACAATAGGTGTTAAATAAAAAAAAGTAAAAAAATAAAAATACCTTGTATACAGTTACTAAATCATTAAAATATTATCACCAATAAATAATTTGTTTTATTTATTAGTTAATATACTGTATTGAAAGATGCTTAAATAAATAATATATATATATATATATATATATATATATATATATATATATATATATATATATATATATATATATATATATATATAATTTTATTCGCTAATAGATTGTAAATAAATACATTGATAGATAGATTGTAAATAGAAATAAATCAAGTAAATATACTTAATTTAATTTAATTTTTAATTAGTAGCTGTACTTTTGTTACAATTTACATTAAAATTAAATGCACATTTAAATTCTTCAAAAATCTGAAGTTTAAAAATATCAATTTCTGTGTGATTGACCCCTTTTTTTCCCTTAAGTGACTGGACTATGAGGCCCTCTTTTGCAAAACACTACTGAGATGGCCCTTCTCCGGTAAAAAAATAATTTGCAATATTTGCTATGCTTATCAGGCAAATTGGCGACCGCAGTAACCTAAGTATCGTATCCTGGACCTGGGTATTTTATATCAAGCATAAATGCGAGATGATTACACCGCCTCCTATGAAAAGCAAATTATGAAATTCTTTTTATAAAAATAAAAACACTCAAACTTATTTCGTTTATTTACAAATTAGAAACCGGAGGCAGGCTCCGAAGAAGAGTGGGCAATGGGCGCAGCACATGACATTGCCCGCCTCTGCGCAGAGGTCACACTTCGGTGGCGCGCCTTTTTACACCATACCACTGATCGTCCGCATGTCCATCACGCTTTAGCTGCTGCACATCATGCGCTACGGTATAATATTTCTTTTCTTTTATATTTTATAATTCCTCTTCCTCCTTCCTTTAAACCATCGTTCAATCAGACGCTCAACCGGTCTCCACCCCTTTCTTCTCGACTGACTCTCTGAATAAGAGTTTTTATTTCGTCTGAGGACTGACTACGCATTCAAACCGAACGGTTTTGTTCTTCGTTCGCCATCAGCAAAGATGTGAAACAATTTAGCAGCATGTCTTTCTATCCGAAGACACCAAGTCTTCGAAGCAAAAGTGAATACCCTTTTGCTAAACTAAGTGCGATTTATTAAATTCGGCTGTTTCACCACTTACCATCAGGTTAAGAATATGTTAATGTCGGAAATTTGTCGAAACTAGCACTATCGAAACATAAAAAAACCGCCAATGTATAGTACTTCTAAGGACTTGAAAATTAAGTGCCGTACAGACTGTAATTACACTACCTACCTTACCCCTGACTGACAACAGGGGTTGAAACACAATTACGACAGAAATAGAAAGAGAAGGGGTACCTACATAACCAGACAGACGAGACTCTTAAGCAGAAAACGAGCTCTACCATCTAAACGAAGATATATATACCTACGAATATCAATACCTCAAAAATACGTTATTTTATCCGACTTCAAAAAAGGAGGATGTATTCAATTCGACTCTATGTTCTTTTTGTGTGTTACCTCATAACTTTTCTCTGAGTGAACTGATTTTAATGGTTCTTTTTTATCTGAAAACTGGTGCTTCTCGTGTGGTTCTGTATAAATTTGATCAATTTCTGACCGAATTCCGGTCACGGCGGCCTGCCACAACGTAGACTAGCCGTCGGCTCAGGACAGGTTTATAGTTCCCAAGGGTATGCGCAAGCACAGGTGCACTCTCTACTCCCTCACTCTCATTATCCGATGGTACGGTAAACCGACACGACCGGAGAGAGATCAGGGGCTGGGCCAACGCGGCTTTACGTGCTTTCCGAGGCACGGGGGTGAGACACCGCCAACTTCCTGACTCCGGGCAACTACTGTGAATTGCTTGACGGAAAAACTCAGTAATCAATTTTTTGGCCCGACCCGGGATTCGAACCCAGGGCCTCATGATCCGTAGTCGCACTACTACAACCACTAGACCAACGAGCCAGTCAAAATTATTTTTAATAGTAAGTATTTAATTGACTTCGAATACATTGATTCGGTCGTATTGAAGTCGGTTGTACAAAATGTTTAATTTTACCACTTGTCAATAATAACCACTAATAGCATGGTTCCAATAAAATGTTGTCTTATTTTTCTATTAAAGGATAAATATAATACACGTAACACAATAAGAATATGTTATTTTACTCCCGCCAGCATCAAACGCTTCTCAGAATGCTTCTTCGTGCTGGACAACCCTCGCCACTCATTGGCTGGTTGCTATGATAGCAACTACCAGTCATACCAAAGCGTGGGTGAAGCGGCACGTCGCTCCCGCTACCTTGCTCTCTTGCCACCTCTACCAGTTCACTGCATTGCATTAGACGGTGATCCTCATATCATGCCTATTATATTTGAGGATAGGTAAGTTTATAAGAAATTTAAATATTGATGAGTTATTTTTGTTTAAGTGCAATAAAAATTAACGTTTGCATTTTTTTAATGCAGATATCAAGATACAGCGGAATTTGCAAGAAGACGTTCATTTTTAAATTCTAACACTAATAAATCGGGCAGTGGTGAGTAATTCTTATAATTTATATTCTTAGAGTAATAACATAAAATTGTTAGTTCTTACTCTGAGATTACATTAAGCTATATAACCTCTTTAATTTCATTTAAATTTCTAAATAAAATAATATTATAATAATTTTTCTCAAATTACAGATCCATTCTTATGTTCAGAACCTTCAAAGGAAGACTGTGCCTGTAGTGTAAGCTCAATCATGGACTCAAGAAGGCCTTCTTCTGAAGCTTCTAGAGTAACATTAACGTTACCAAAAACTATAATGGATGTTCTCGAACCACGATACAATGCGCCAAAAAGTAGTGCACAAAACGTAGTGCAGGCTACTTTGACCTTAGCACCTCAAAAATCAGCCCAAAGTTCTCCTAAAAGAACAATAGTAAAACAAAATTTAGTAGAAATAAATAAATCTCATAATAAGCAATTAGAACTAACGGGTCGAAACAGATACATTGTACAGAATAATCAAATAAGCGAAATTCAGCTTCCTCCTAACAACGTATTTTCTTCATGCTCTATTCAACAAGGACAACAGTTATCAAGATATTCGGCGTCCACGTTATTAGATATTAATGCTACAAAAAATAATGCAGGAGGGTCACGAACGGTAAAAGATAAATCTGATTTAAATAAAGTAACCAATCAAAAGCAAGCAATCACAAGCGGTGTAAGCACCTTACCAGCAAGACATAGTAAATCGTTGGATCAACTGAGAGTATCGCAAATGACACCGCTGAGTGTACAAACATTAACAAAAAACTTACGAAATAATTCCAATTCATCTGTTAATTACCCTAAACCTTACCAACCTCCCCAGCATGTGAAACCCACTACTTTGCCACGAAGTGTAACGACAACAACATATCCAACAAGTACAACGACTAGATGTGGCTCTAAAGGCGATGATTATAGACGAAATATTAACGAGTTTAGAGAGAAATACAAAAATCCATGTAATCTCAATGTGAATATTCACGGAACGAACAATGAAGTATTTCATAATGTAGGATATAAATATGATGGTAATATAAAATCTAATCATAACCAAGTTTATGGATACACTTTCGGTAATCAGGGTACTCTGCAAGTAAACAATGTAATTCGTAATCCTTTAGAATTTCAAAGAGGTTATAGAGTAAATTTACCCCGTCCTATGTTGCCTCCGCGTAATTCTTATCCACCAGTTAGTGGGAAAACTCAAGTAACTGATCAAAGTAGTTTAGTATCAAATAAGCATGTTCATAGATCTAATTCTACACACATATTTCATCAAAATATAGATAGTCAGCAGCAACAACAAATTGATATCGAAGCAGCACGCAATCAACTAAGGCATGAATTAAATTACTACCTTCAGAAAGGAGACTGGAGTTATGATTTCAATACAGGTAGCTTAATTCAAAATTATCAAAAGAAATCTAGTAAAAGCAGTGATGATAGTGGATTTGTAATGACTTTAGACAGAAGCAGTGACGGTACTTCCAAATCAACTTATTCTAAAACTCCACCATCGACTCCGCATTCCACTATGCCATCAGTGAGACATAAAAAGAGTCGATCCAAAGAATCTAAATTAAATAACAGTATTAAAGAAGGTACTAAATTGAACTCAAGTCGCGATTCGCTAAGTAGTCACCATTCTGTTATATCGAGGGATAGCAAATCTGATCGACAAACATCGAAATCCGACCGAAGCACACCAAAATCTGATAGAGCAACGCCTCGGTCTGAAAGAGGAATTCCAAAATCTGGTGGGATAACTCCAAGATCAGGATTAACAACACCCAAATCTGGAAGAGTGACACCAAAATCTGGAACAGCAACACCGAAAAGTGGCAGATCGAGTGGTAAGCCAGAAAAAAGAACAAAACACAAAGCCTCAGAAAAAATGACGCAGTTAATGTCTGAAGCGGCGTCATCTTCTAGTAACGACAGTATACCATTTGAACTCAGAAGGTTAGAATCTTCAGTCAGCGTTCCATATAGCCTCGGCCATGGAGCAGAATTAAGACACTGTAGAAGTGCTGCTTCAGTCTTGGATGAACCTCATCTTAACAATACTTTTGGTTCAGAGTCCTTACCAAATTTAGCGCCACCACCCGCATTCGAATCACCTCCATTAGACATAACAGATAAAGACTTCAAAATTATGCCTCCTGAAAGTTTTTTGAGTAAAGAAGAAAAACAAAGTAGTAACTCTACGTCTAGTTTGAGTGAACAAAGTGGTTGGGTTTCTAGTGGAAGAAGCTCAGGGCCATCCTCTCCCGATAATGGAAGTTGTCAATTAAATGAAAACCATACGCCACGTAATAAATCACCGCTTTCTAAAGTTTCCAATAAAGTGTACGATACAGCGACCGAATTTCAAAAACAAGATGGTGAAAAAATAAGTGATTTTAAAAGAACTGTTTTAAACGGTGAACAACTACGTGAAAAGTTGCTAAAACTTGCAGTAAAAGCTGCTCAAAGTTCGAACGAAAAAATAGAGTGCTGTGACAAAGAAGTATGTGAAGAGTGCACTATTTGTAGTGATTCCATTTGCACGGATAGTCAATGCGAATATAACAAAATATTACATAATAATGGCGTTGATACGGGATGCAATTCCGACACTTGTACAGCCAGTTGTTTCCAGCAATATTCTGAATCAAGTAGGAGTAAACTAAATCAAAGACACAACTCTTTTAGTGGAATACAAGTTAAATCTTTGAGTAATGTTCCCATTCCAGCAAATGAAAGCAATGTTAAGAAATCTCAGACAATTGGCGATAACCTGCATCCATATATAAGAAAAGAAATTTCACCTAAATTACAACCATTGCCTGCTAAATCCGATTCTCTGAAGAAAACGAAATTAAAGGACAGAATAGAGTACACAGAAAAACTTTTGGCAGCAGAAATACGAAGCCTTACTGTCGATCGCTCTTGTAAAAGTCACACCAAAAAGACGTCGCCTACAGATATGAGCTCTGCTGGGCAAAGATATCAAAATAAGGCCAAATCTGAAGTAGACCTTAGTCATTATGGTGCTGGCAATGATTATGAACACTTACCACCACCACAACAATTTAGAGATGCTCCTCCACCACCTGATGCATTTAAGGTAGATTATTGTTAACGTTTTTAAATATACTTAATTACATTTTATCAAATATATACCAAGGGCACTTTTTTTTTTTCAATTTTACAGGATCCCCCTTCAAAGTCACCAGAATTAAGTAGACAAATTAGTAGTAAATCTTCAACACCCTCCAAAACACAAAGAAAACAAGCAAGTCAACCCTCTACCCTACAATTAGATAATCCCCTATATCACGTCTGTGAAGGTAAGCTAAACGAATACACGTCTTTATGCTTCTAGCTTCTGCTTATAATAATACTAACCAAAACGCTGTTGGCACACCAGGAATCATAGAGAGGCGAAAATTAAGGCCTCATCAATCAGTCAATGCAACAGCCACAATTTCGTCTAGCACGCTTAACAAAAGTCAAAGCACTGGGGAACTTGCTTCTAGGAATGATAATGGAAATAATAAAGGTAAATAACATGTCTTAATTATTATTTTTTTTGAACTTCTTTTAACTAAACTAACTAACATTCACAATAAATTATTTAATAAAATATTATGTAATAGTTTAGTTTCGGGCCATTCAAGTGTTTAAAATTTCAGAGCCACGAGAAAGCAATCTTGTTAGTATATTTGGACTGGCAGAATCAGAGCGATTGTTCGTAAAATGTAGAGAAGAATTCAGGCAAAGCGTTAAATATCCTGGAGCTATATACTCAGATTTCCCGCCCATAGAAAATTCTCTACCATACTTTCATATCAGCGATGAATATCGTATGTTTAATCCAGAAGGTAAAATAGAAAACTTATTCCATTTTTATTAAGATTTTAATTTTATATCAAACAAATCTGGTACAGTTAGAACTATAAAATAATAACAAATATTCTGTATATATTCTAGGCTTGCATCTTATAATTTGCGTGCATGGACTAGATGGCAACGCTGCAGATCTGCGACTAGTAAAAACATATTTAGAGCTTGGCCTACCAGGAGCTAGGCTAGATTTTCTGATGTCTGAAAGAAACCAAGGCGACACATTCTCTGATTTTGATACTATGACTGACAGGTACGATTTAGTGTTACTATTTAGCATAATATAAAACTACTGTAGCCTAATCATAAACCATAGAGAAGCGAAAATTAAGGCATATCAGTATGCACACAATAATTTCGCTACACCGAAAGTCAAAACACTGGGCAACTTGCTTCTAGGAATGAAAATGTATCCTCCAGGATACTAATTCCGCCATTTGATTACTGTCTAAAGTTGTTATCGGGAGTATTAGTATTGTAAATAAAGTAACTACTATTATTTTTTATTATGTATTTTTGTTAAATATTTAATTTCGTTAAGAACTATTTTATTTTATTTATCTATTATTGCAGACTCGTTCAAGAAATTTTGACGCACATACAAAACTCGAGCGAGCCAGCTAGAATAAGCTTCGTAGGTCATTCCTTAGGAACTATAATTATTAGATCTGCACTTGCAAGACCACAAATGAAGGCTTACTTGGGAAAATTGCACACGTTTCTCTCTCTCAGCGGTCCACACTTGGGTACATTGTACAACTCCAGCGGTCTAGTAAATGCGGGTAACTATCATTGTTCGTAATTTATAAAGTAATTAATAAATTTATCACTTTTCCATTAATTGAAACTTATCAAAAGTCCATTTCTAAGCATAGGCTTCTCTCACAGAGTGCCGCATACATTAGACTGATAAATTGCAACGCTTAGAAGGCGATATAGCAACCTATATTTTCTTTATATTATTTTAGGATATTGTTAGGAAGATGCTAATCCCCGATCTCCTGTTTCATTTCTTTCATTTTTCTCTGTCGCCTCTTACGACACACCCAGGATGATATCAAGTAGTGGATTCTCTTACACCACTATACTGTTTCATAACAAAACTACCAACATACTCGTATTTTGCTTATAAGTTTAAAAAGATCATTAACTGATTCATGGTTCAATCTGTCATTGACTATTAATGTTTCTATAACTAATTACGTATGAATACGTTAATGTTTTGCATATTATGATTCATACCAACATATTTAGGAAACATCAAATCAATCAGAAAATGTCCAATAATCTCAGCTCGACGCTGTAATCGCTGTTTGGTAGATTAAATCCGCTCGTCGCGCTATGTGATACTGTTGCGCGTCTAAGTTGATGTCTGATACCTGGTACTAGCGCCATCTAGTATCGGGGAATAGAGCGAGGATCCAAAAATGCCATGCTGGATTATGGAAAATTCCAAATCGAACTTTCTAGTCGGACCTGGATGTTTCATGGAAAAGGCCTATTTAAGGCCATTGGAGGCCTCGACCGAGGCAGTATTGAATTAGCGATACGAGCGAAGCTTTCGGAGTAAAATAAAATGAACTAAAGTGTTAAGTGTGAATAATTATTAGTGTGATTTAAGTTTTAATTGGTGTTCGGTAATAAAAGTATCAATTTTGGTAATTCAATCGGCAGTTTTTACTGTCACAAACCCTAAGCTCGTAAAATACCTAAAAATACAGTGATTTTCTTTTATTTTATAAAATAGATAGTCACCTGTTGTAATATATCGTAAGGTGGAAAATATAAATTTACGCGAATGTGAGTCCATATCCGTGTTGAAAACTTAACTACGGAAATATTCACCAAAAATGTTGACGCTCGGGGCAATCTGTGACATCAGTAATCGAAGTATATAATAAATCTGTAGAAAAATTATTTGTTCACGATTCACGCAAAACTACTATATGAATTTCCATGAAATTTGTGACGGATTTCCATGGCATATGGCAACTTTTCTGCCGTTACAGACAACTAAAAAAGGAGGGTTATGATTTTCTTTTTTTTAATTTTATTGTTATGATGGTTGTGATGGTTCCATTTTTCATAAAGAGCATTTAGCTATACGTATTACGTTAAATAAGTTTATATAAGTGTGTGTGTGAAAATGAAACTCATCGCGTAACCAACCAAAAAGGGCAGAATGACGTCTGCCGGGCAACTAGTGGTTAATAAAAGTCAAAAAAATTGTTTTAGCAGATTGAAAAAGGACAGGAACGAGGGAAGCGCAGCGGATTCCCTAACCTCCTATGACACCTACGTTGGGTTCGGGAACAACGTATGTGAACCCCGCAACGGAGTAACACACAAGGGCGTCGACCTCTTCTTTTTCTTCAAATAGGTTCAGGCGGGGATTACGGGTCTTCCGAGGTCGTCCCGGTCCCAACGCCTTAATTCTTCAATATGTGCCGCGCTAGCGAGTTCCGTGAGAGAGTAATTACTTTCCCTATCACTTCCCTATATACTTTTCTTTCTTGATTATATTATATACTGGTAGCTGGTCCCGAACGATTTGTATCCAGTTTGTCGTCTACATGCACCAATGTGCTATGCAGGTATCGGGCCTCGGGGTATACTCCATTGCCCAGATATTCATCATGGCCCATAACTATGGGCCAGTCTTTGAAGCCTATTCTAGGCGTAGATGATTAGTACGGATTAGTCGGTAGTCAGATAAGATTTTTCCCGTAGTTAACCGACTACGGGGAAAAAAAAGAGGTTATCCAGTAAAAAAGTCTAAGTTGGCCTTTCAGCGGCATTGAGGGTTGTTACTCGACTCTCTAATCGATATAGAGAGGAGTTCTCTTTGAAGAGATCGCCCGTCCGGGGGCCGAGTGTGCAACGGCGCAAAGCCGTTGAGATGGTCATGTGGCCCGTTGTCGGCGCGGTCAAACATGCCGCGCGCTAGCCGGGCCACAAAGTCGGTGATGGTCTCGACTTTCAGATCGGCCGCTATGACGTCGTTCCGGACGTAGCGACCTGCTCCGACGATCGTCCTTAATGACAGATTCTGCTGAGCCTGCAGTCGCCGCCTCAGAGGGTCGCTCAGAAGCGCGTACCAGTACCGGAGCTTGGTCTTTATCGGCAGCTTGGATGCCAGGCCCGGACGGAGCATCGCCCGCGCACATCTGGCTTTGCGGATGACGAAGTTGACGTGCGCCGTCATGCGCAGCGCCCGGTCGATCCGGCACCCGAGGTATGTCACGGCCTTCTCGTACGCGATCTTCTGGCCGTTGAGGATCAGCGGAGGTGGTAAATTTCTTAGACGGCGAGTGAGCAGAGCGGTCGTCTTACCAACGTTGACGACCATCCTCCACTCGTTCAGCCATGGTGGCAGCAGGTCCAGCAGATGCTGCATTCTGGCAGTGGCTATATGGGCTCTTCTGGACGAGGTGAAATAGGCGCTATCGTCCGCATATAGTGCCAACTCAACGTCGTCCTCCCATTCTTGCAGCCTGCCTGCCAGTGTTGGTATGTCGTTAGTGTATGCCGCGTACAGGACTGAAGACAAACAGCTGCCCTGTGGGACGCCAGCTCTGATGGATCTTGTTGCAGACTCGGCGTCCTCTACGCAAACGTAGAACTTCCTGTCTTCCAGGAAAGACGCCATTAACCGCAGCATAGCAGGGGGGACACTGGTCTGCTCGTGAAATTTGTTTAGTAATCCTGAGTGCCACACCCGGTCGAACGCTTTCTCGATGTCGAGAAAGACGCCCAACGATATGCGGCCATGATTGTACTCTGCCGCAAGCAGGTGCAGCACTCTAGTCAACTGTGTGACTGTAGAGTGACCCCTCCTGAATCCGTGTTGCTCCGCCCGAAGTTGGATGCACGGACGGAGACGTCTCAGCAGCAATCTTTCAAACAGTTTAGCTATGTGCGGTAATAGCGTAATCGGCCTGTAGCTGGCAGCTCTACGCCTGTCCTTCCCGGGTAACGATTTGTATGTCGTTGCTGTCCTCTGCAGGGCATAATGCCGTGCAGGTCTCGGGCCTCGGGATGTACCCCTTTACCGGATGTTCCTCACGGCACACTACAGTGTGCCGGTCCTGGGCGCCTTGATGGTGAAGGCGTTGTTTTAACGACTATTGTCGCGGTCGGTTAAGTTTTTCATTAAAGTAGGTTATCTCGTAATTTGTGTTTAACACAAATTACTTGTCTAAGTTGGCCTTTCTGCGGCATTGTGGGGTTTACTCAGACTCCCTAATCTATATAGGGAGGAGTTCTCTTGGATAGGGTCGCCCGTCCGGCGGCCGAGAGTGCAACGGCGCGAAGCCATTGAGGTGTTCGTGTGGCCCGTTGTCGGCGCGGTCGAACATACCGCGCGCCAGCCGGACCACGAATTCATGCAGGCTCTCCATCTTAAGGTTGGCCGCTATGACGTCATTACGGACGTAGCGACCCGCACCGACTATAGTTCGTAATGACAAACTCTGCTGGGCCTGAAGTCGCCGCTTCTGACGATCGCTCAGGAGTGCATACCAGGCCGGAGCAGCGTATGTTAGCAGGGGTCTTATGTAGATTTTATAGATAGTTAACTTCGACTTTGTCGGTAACTTGGATGTCAGGACAGGGCGGAGCATTGCCCGCGCACATCGAGCTTTGCGTATAGCAGAGTCAACGTGCGCAGTCATACGCAACATCCTGTCAATCCGACATCCAAGGTAGGTCACGGCCTTCTCATATGCGATCTCCTGGCCTCCGAGGGTTAGCGGTGGTGGTAGATTTCTATAGCGGCGAGTGAGTAGAGCGGTCGTCTTGCTAACATTGACGGCCATCCTCCACTCATCCAACCATGGTGGCAGCAGGTCCAGCAGACGTTGCATCCTGGCAGCTGCTATGTGGGCTCTTCTGGACGACGTGAAGTATGCGCTGTCATCAGCAAACAGCGCTAGTTCGACGTCGTCCTCCCATTCGTGCAAGTGTACTGCCAGGGTAGGTATGTCATTAGTGTACGCCGCGTACAGGGCTGGAGATAGACAGCTGCCCTGTGGCACACCAGCTGTTATGGTTTTTATTGCGGACTCGGCGTCCTCTACGCAGACGTAGAACTTCCTGCCTTCCAGGAAAGACGCCACTAGCCGCAATATAGCAGGAGGGATACTTGTTTGTTCATCTAGCTTGTAGAGTAGTCCTGTGTGCCACACCCGGTCGAACGCCTTCTCGATATCGAGAAAGACGCCCAACGATATGCGGCCACGGTTGTGTTCGGCCGCAAGCAGGTGCAGCACTCTGGTCAGCTGTGTTTCTGTGGAGTGACCCCTCCTGAATCCATGTTGCTCCGCCCGAAGTTGATGCACGGGCGGAGACGTCTCAACAGTAATCTTTCGCACAGTTTAGCTATATGCGGTAGTAGCGTGATCGGCCTGTAGTTGGCAGCTCTACGCCTGTCCTTCCCGGGTTTCGGCAAGGCGATGACTTTGCCTTTCTTCCAGTCCTCCGGGAAGTGGGATGTCCGATATATTCCGTTGTAGAGCCGACCTATCTCTACAAGGACTCTATTGGGCAGCTGTCATAGTGCAGCGTTGGTAATCCCGTCGTGCCCCGGCGCCTTCCTCGGTTGCAGGCGGGTTACTGTCCTCCGCAGTTCGGCGGGGGAGCGACACCCCTCTCCTGCAAGCGGTGGCGCGAGCGACGACCGGCGCTCCTGCACGCGGCTCTCCTTCCGTGTATGGGATTCCAGGAACTCCGCACTTGCTGGGTTCGGCATAAACTGCTCCTCGAAGTGCTCAGCTAGGATATC